TTAAATTTCATGCTACAATTTACACGGGATAAGTCGGATTATTATTTCACCACGGAAAAATTTAAATCATGCCAGCACGCTATACAGGATTCATGGAGACAACGAGGTACATACCTATATGATTTGAGGCAATGTACGTATAAAATTATCAGAATTCTACTGATGACTACTATGTCATGAATGTTAATCTTAATATTTCGGTATTTCGTCCATTGAAATAATCACGTCTTTAAGATTTATCGCCAACATTGTAAGTGGTTCTTGACTTTTTATTGGCGTTGGTGTTAACCGTTCTGTTTATCTGACGTTATCTCAGCTAACAACWGAACAGCTACAGTGAAAATATACACTATGAAGAGCCTGACACAACGCAAGCTAGGAGGCATACGTTTAATATCAACTCCCTTTCTCAAAACTCATTCAAGTTCTTTATAGTAACAATGCATATTGTTACAGTGAAGGGAATGTCAGCGCTTTTGATCAGCTTGCAGTACGAGATCATAGCGCWTGTKCAGAACAGAACATACAAAATATTTTTAAATGATGTGACTAGTTATACGCATGCTCAATACGAAAGGACACAAGTGCGCTTTGTACTAAATACGACCGCCATCTTGCATGAATTTCCTTGTTTTTATGGGAATGAAAATTCATAGACTCTACGGCTTTGAGAATCCTATGAGATTTAATATCTCTCATAAAGAATAATAATGAGTATCTGAGACTCAAAAAAACAGTGATTTTTAAAATATGTCGAGGATTTACAGTTCCAAGCGCCATCTTGAAAGGTAGCCAAGCCTTTGCATCGAAAAGAGAGAGGAGTTGAGCCTGCATGATAGATACCTTTTGTTCACAACTAACGCAATTATTGTGAATATATAAGAAGCGTTTCATATATTTTTTTATATTTTGTCCACCTTTGTGGGCAGAGCCAGTTCCCTCTAGCCCTTATTTTAAAGCCGCTTCGAGTTTGATCACCAACTAGACCCTGTCAACAGGGTTAACTCGTGCACGAGGAATAATGACGTCAGAAGTGTATCAACGAGAGGACCGATGCTATTCCGAATATTCAAAAATTTTTTATAAAAAGACAAAAATGTTGTTAGTCTATTTACTATACTTGTGTTAATTTTCTTTTCACAGTGATTTATCATTCATTATTTTTAGTTTTGATCCATGCCGCACGTTTGCAACGAATTACTCGGTTATCAAACCTTTCAGTTTGAATGTAACAAATCGTGTCGCAAAGGTGCAGAAATAGAGAAAAGAACAAGCTTTCTTATTAGGTGTGAATTGTGATTTTTGCAGTGATTATGACATTCTATGTCAAGAAGACGCACAAAGTAAACAGTGTATTGCTTCATCAGGAGTCACGCAGGGTACACTACAACATCCTGTCAAACTGCATAAAGTGGGAAGGGTATTTTGATACGGAACTGTTATGGTATGTCAGCATAGTTCATGTGCATTGTTGTAAGCGGAATATATAAAATCATCGTACAAATAAACACAGGAAAACCAAAATATTTTGTTAACCTCTGCTTGACGCGTGTTCGTCGACATGATTTTGATGCACATTTTCACTATTCGAAAGCAGTTATAGATATTTGCGAATATAATCTTAGTTTTTTTAGTTTAAATTTTTTTTTATAGAATTAGCACAAACACATGATAATAGGATCAGCTAGGCATGCGACGACAGGATGTTTTTTCTCGGGCTTTCTTCCAATAAAAGAACTGCAAGATGATAAAGATTTGTTCCTCTAACGCTGGGGCAAGTTTGATTGTACTTTATAACGAAATATCGAAAAAGATAAAAACGATTAATACAAATCCATTAAAATGAATTGGCTTGACATAACCTTCTTGGAATAAGATATTCCATTTTGAATCCTGAGGATTTTGTCGTAACAGAAYCTGAAAAGGGCTCCTGCTAAAGTCATCAAAAATCGCTTAAAATACTTCGATAGAACAATACTGTCCGCTAATCGGGTCTCGCCTCACCACGGGTCTTTTGTAGTCTCAAAACCACATTCTTGCACAGTTTGTAGTTTACAAAAAAAAAAATGGAAACAAAAAAAAAAGCCACAATTCAGTTGAAATCATTTGAATGTTGATCGTCTAGAATGCGAAAAAGAGCCAGTGTGATAAAACAAGTGTAGCTGTGTAWTTCTGAGGTGAACTTGGACAGTGGTCTGTTCTACGGAGCTGTATAAACATCAGTGTAGTGTAATTAGATTACTTTTACTTTGTTCAACGGAGTCTACTGACTTTCTTTACCGTTTTGGAAACATCATCGTACAAATAGGATTTAACTTAACTTACGTCTTTCGTTGTTTTCTAACGATTCACTGATGTGTAGATGCAGTCCAACACTGTGTATTCATTGCTTTAGACTGTGAGTATTATGCCTCAGTTGAAGTGGACGGACTTTTCAGGCTATTTTGACGGACGAGCTCCAAGTTCAATGACAACAATGTTGATTATAGAGGAAGCACAAACTGTCTTTAGGATTAGGTGTTAATAGACCGGTGATAACAAAGGGCGGTGTCTAACACTGCTAATCCACCAATCAGCTTCAAGGWAWTTCTTAGTCACGAAGAAACACAAATCGACTTCAAAGCTAACGGCATGCATTTGACTTTTGGCCTTTACGTTCTATGCTTATCATAAGTCTTAGCTAATCCTCTCCACAAATTCAGAAGCGACAATTGAAGTTGAGTAACGTTAACAAATACAGTGCGAGAATTAAATCTGCCAAACAAACGATAAAGATATAGGATAATATCATGCTAGTTTATCGTAAAACGTCACGGCACGGAATGTTGCAGTAAAATCTGGTATGGTACTTAAAGGTGGACATTCCTAAATGGAATAATTTCCGCCATTTACTACGTTCCAACATGTTACTTGTAAAAGAATTATATGTACTTATACTAATAGTATTGACACGCCTTGGAACACTGAGATGGCATTATAATTAAGAAAACCTTCTTGTTTTAGGGACAGAAGTCCTTGAAAACTTCTCTAGACGATCACATGAATATACCATCAATTCAATGAAGAGAAAATGACAATTACAGCTGGGGCAGAGGAAGAGGAGTGCTTTCAGTAGCGGCATGTATTCACGATCTGGTGGCCATATGTTGTACACCAGACTACTAATAGCTAGTCCAAGTTTGAAGTTAAAATGTTTTAGTTAGGTAGTGAAAGATTATATTATAGAGGTAGGAATCAAAACCAAACCAGTTAAGCTTCTTATCGTAGATGAGATTATAATCACCTAGTTTTGTTTCTCGAAAAAACAAACGCGGCAAAAAGAACTCGCTAAAGACATGTTCCTCGCTATGTAATGCGCAGAACTATTGCGCTGAAGAAAGCTCCTTCTGTAACGACTTCTATAATTTTGAAAATAAAAATTGATAAAATGTTTCAAACTGGGCTAAAGATCCTTTGTCAGCACTGTTTTGGTTTCGATGTTTTCAGATATGTTGTTCTCGGTTCCCGATTGAGATTGTCTAGTTTTACGTCTGGTTTTACAAAATTATTTGCTTATTCCATAATGAGCTACTATGTTTTGTAACCATAGATACCATAGATACATAGGCCGTCAGACTTGCGCAACTGGCTTCAACATCGGAGTCTCGTTTCTAGAACTATATTCACATCACGCATGCGTAAGAAAGGAACGAGATTTCCTGCATTCACGAGATAAAAAAATTCATAAATGAATGATTGGAATAGATAAAGAATCGAAATAAATAAAAATAAAAAACGAAAAAAATACACTTTTCTTTTTTGGAAATTACGACAAATGCTACCAGTAACAGTTTTTTAACATATATTTGCTATAGTAGTTTGCACCATAAAAATTGGCCTTCAACCAAAAAATTGTACGATGTTGAAWTGAAACTATTTGCGCGTGTATAAAGAGATCTGAAAAGCGTTATAAAGCTATAACTACAGATATGTCATTTACAGCTTTTTGAAACCTGATTCAAAGTCAAATTCACTAAAAATTCAATAAAATGTATACACAGATGGATGAATCAATATTTATTCTAAAACTCTAACTAAATAAATAACAGAGGCTCATTTCTAAGTCATCTATTTTTGTTACCAAATACTAATATTTGTGGAGCATTTTCCTTCTTCTTCGGAGTCCCGTGTCCAATTTATAACAATCCTAGAATCTATAAACATTTAATCGAGTAAAAAAAAATAATAAGAGCACGTTAACACATTGCTATTATTACTGCAAAATAATTAATGGACAAAAATAAAAATTAATGAAAAAGGGGAAAGTATTACAATATCATGATACAGACCATAATCCGGCAAATCTTTGTCGCCCTTAATTTTTAAACCAGCAATATATGCGCTAAAAATAAAGTTTCCAGTCTTCCGCCTTTCTTGTCAGTAATATGGTAAAATAGAACTATCAAATAATCCAAAAAGAAAATCAAGTCATTCACACAAGAAGTTCCAAGACGATTTGTTCTAACGGCAAAGTACGAACCCATAGGTACTTCAAAGTGATACTGCGGAATAAGTATATTCGGTCTGRTATTATTGTAATTGTTTGAAAGCAGAAAAACATACACAATGACAATATACATAGAATAAGGCGCCGTAATTCCCAACAAGTCTCGAAACAAGTCGTTTTATAAAAGGYGCTGATTTGTCTTCCTGGGTTAGTGTTCTCATAATTATATTCATTTAAAAGCGCGCGTTCCTCAGGCGATTTAGGTTTTTATTTAGTTTTTCTTCAATCGCAGACTCGCTACTAGTTTTCCWATTGAGATCCCATTGAATATACATAATGTGCTTGGCTCGAGGGAAAATCTTCAAACTGTCGACTATAACTACATGTAATTCGACTGAAAGGAGAGCGAAGTAGAACCTAAACGTTCAGGAAGCCAAGAAATCTAATGTCTGAAGCTGGTTTTGCGTCTCATTGAATGTAATGACGAAAATGAGAAATATACCATTAAGTGATAACAGCTTCTCAACAACAGCCAGATGTTCAGTTTGTCGCTGAAAATAATAATTATTCCATAGTCGGAAATGAACCATTGCGCGTGCGCACGATGTAGTTGAATGTTTGTTTTTTTCGCAGTTCGATTGGACAGCATCACACAAGTGCAGTAGTTTCATCCCGAAGGAGCGTTTTTAAAGCCACCTAGTATTATACAATCTGTCCCCGATGGATTTACAAACTCCAAAGGGCACGGTGAATGACCAGAATCTGCCAGCTGTAGTGGAACTGAATGTTGGCGGACAATTGTACACCACGTCATTACCAACTTTACTCAAAGATTCAGATTCTMTTCTGAGCGCCATGTTTAGTGGCCGGCAAAAAATCCCACGAGATTCAAGAGGAAGGTTTTTCATTGATCGCGATGGTGTACTTTTTCGTTACATTCTTGATTATCTACGAAACTGTAAGTTGGCGCTTCCAGAAGGATTTAGTGAACGCGATCGACTGCTCATAGAGGCAGAACACTTTAAACTTAAAGGAATGGTTCGTGCAATTCAACGAGAGGGTGACAGTCTTAAGACCGGCAAGGATAAGTCTAGACCCGGGGGATWTCTATCCATAGGTGTTAGAGGAACATACGCCTTTGGAAGAGATGGTGTGGCAGACGTCAAGTTTCGTAAGTTACAGCGTATTTTGGTGTGTGGTAATGTAGCCCTAGGACGAGAGGTTTTTGGTGATACACTCAACGAGACAAGAGACCCAGATCGTGATGACCAACGCTATACTAACCGCTTCTATCTGAAACACAGCTATTTGGAGAAGGCTTTTGATCAGCTCTATGAACATGGCTTTAAGTTGATTACTAGCTCGGCCGGGGGTGCTGGATATGATCCCGAAAACGAAGAAACAAAATGGAATCATTTTAACGATTATGTGTTCTTTCGTGAATGAACACCACACAAGCCTTCAAACAATTCCTGATGGATTCCTATTCATTTAATGTATATAAACACCGACTCTAAAAGTAAAAACAATTCTTATTAGAGGCCATGCTAGTCTGGTAATAGCCCTGGCTTTTGCGGTCGCGAACGTTGTCTTTCAAGAATGAGACTCCACAGTTTCACTACTAATATAAAAGTTATAAGAGTATTATTGTCAAATGAGTACACTTTTGAGTTTTTGCTCGAGAATTTCCCAGTTTCAAGTAGAAAGAAGTAAGAGGGCCAAAAACATGGTATCATTGATACACTCGCTTCATTGCCAGCAAGTCACTGTTACAATTTATCGGGGATTCTAAACAGTATTTGAATCTCGCAAAAGATCTGRCAATGAAAACCGAAAGTCAAATAAATTGAATGTGAACTAGTGTGRAGATTGAAAGTGAAATGCACTATATATACGTGTAATTCAAGAACGACTAGTTCATGTTTTCAAAACACACTCATTTAAACGTCAAGTTTGACATTTTCATTTTCGAATATTGTAATAATTGAGTGTTAGCGAAGAACAGGAATTGTACAAAACGAGAAAAATAATAAATGTAGAAGGTAAAGACCGGATCCCTTTCATTTGAGGTTTCAGCTCATTGCAGTTTAAACAAAAGCGAAAACGAGTGATCTCGAGTGTTTACCCCAAGCTGATGTGACGAGGAATTGATGTATTTTGGTTATAAGTTCGAGTTTTTCCTCRTGAAATGTCTTAATTAAACCGTAAAAAGCTAAAATAATGTGGAGATTTGCTCTTTTAAGGGAAAGAAGAACCGAAATAACCCCTRCTTAGGTAATACACCAAATAATCAATCAGTGTGTACCCTTTAGGCATCAACTAGAAGCCAAAATAAAATACACAAGATAGATTCTATAAATCCGAACATTATGCAAAACACATCGGTCTCAGAACAGGTCAATCAATGGCTCCATCTGTCATGTCTAAATAGTAGGTGTCAGGGCAGTAAAATGAAAGCAAACAGCTGATACATGTTTTTAACCTTGAAGTGAAAATCGCAGTAAAAAAGTTGTTTCAGTCCAAGCGAGAACAAAAAAAAAAGACAAAAGGGATGCTTGATGATTGAATGCAAAGCACACAGCAGGTGTAGTGATCGATAGGACGCTTCGTATGGTAATGTCATATTCAAGCAAAAATTGCTCGCGCCAAAAACACCAACAACACTGTGCCAGTGTAGGGAGTCGTTACCACGACAACAGTATCTTTCCATCGCATTTTYAGTTCATAGATTGTTAAAATGACACATTAAAAGCGAAGGGGAGAAAAACAAAAACAAATTCTATAATACCGTATAGCATTTCGAGGTGTGGAAATTTAGGAAAAGTGGATGATTTAAATGTGTCAAGCAAGAAACGATTAAGGTGTACGGTTCTAATCGGGAAATCACTTCTTCAAAGGCTTGTCAAACATGATTGTTTTAATCTAGAGGGAAGATTACATTCAATTGAAACGCTAATTGCTGGGTTTCATCAAATTTCAAGACAACATCATTTACAATAATGTCCGCAAAAGAACAGAAAGTACTTTTATCTTCAACGTACTTTTAGTAAAGTGAAAGCTGACGTTGGAGTATAATAAATGGAAGATTCATTGAACTAGTCATGTCAAAGTGTCAATTTGTTCTATATTATAGGCTGAATTATCAAATAATCATTGAAAATTCCATGTTCCTCAGTGATAACCTCATTATTAACATCGTCGATGGTGAACGACGCGCTGCCGCCTTTTTGTGTTCGTGACGCAGTTGAAGTTGCTTTTTTGAGAAAGAAAAAAATATACTGGCTTTAGTTTTGAAAATGTAACTTTCGKTTTTTTCAAGAAGCGAAATATGATTTTGCCATTTTCTTCTCTCTGATATACCCCAACTAAAAAACAAACGAATCTTTATCGAATACAAAGCTATTACGCTATCGTTTAGCTAAAATTGTTCTAGCATTGGCTACATTTGCAGGATTTCATTTTCGACCGGTGCTTTCACACCCTTCAAAGAGTAGCGTGTGGTTTTGTCCATGAGTTTTCCCACCCTTCTAAAGAATATCGTCCAAAAACCGCCTTTTTATCCATTAGCAACAAAAGCTGTTCTGATAAAAGCCACCATTATTTCAATGACTATTAAACATGTCTGAAGTAATCGCTTAAGTAGAATCTGTTGCTTTTACATTTAAAAGCATGAATAAAAAGATAGATTTAACCTCTGAAAATACTATCCATCAGATTTAACTCCTCGAGAACCTTTTACGCTCTAGTAGAGCAGGCRTTTTAGATCGGAGTGTGAAAGGCTTCTTAACGACCGCTTTCACATAAGTAGGGTTAAATTCGATTCAAGAAACTGTTTAAATATGTATCCAAAAAATGTGATGGAGGCTAATTTACATGAGACAAGCCTAAGAGTTCTCTCTCATGAAGAACAGATCTAAAATGATGATAACTGCAAGATAGCAAAGCTGAGAATGATGCTATAAGCACACATTATAAGAATTATCTAGTACACAACTATGATGCTATAATTTGGAGTGTCAATTTGGTTGTGCATTCATCGCCTTTCAGCCAACAATCAACCACAGAATATAGAATGAAATATAAACTTCACATTGATTGAAAAGTGAATAGAATGAGGCAAAGATTTACAAGAGGAATCTTTTGTTGTGATAACTGAACAATGTGATGAGAAACTACTATGAAATCATTGGAAAAAAAACCCAACAAAATGGTTAATTCCATCTACTCACAAGAAAGGATAAAATGTTTTGTGTACACAGCGATCTTTCCAGAGATGCAGGGAAAGAAAGCATTAGTATATTTAAAAAATATGTGAATTAAGAAAAAACTTTCCCCTTATTTAGCATCACTTTGGCATTATTCTTGAGAACAGATTCAAGTAGCTTCTAGTTTATGAAAGTATTGTATAATGACATTGTGTCTGACTCTACACAAGAGTTAGGAGTTGAGATTAGGAACTGTTAATAAGTAGAGAGGCTATAGTCCATGGTTTTTGATCGAAAATGGGTCCTTTTTGATGATTTTGACTCTACACAAGAGTTAGGAGTTGAGATTAGGAACTGTTAATAAGTAGAGAAAAAAAAATTCAAAAAAAAAACTGTTTTATATTAGAAAATAATTCGTAAATACAAACTTGTAAGTAAACTTAAATGTAGCCTGCGTAGTGGCCCTTGTCCACAGGGAACCCAAGAGGGATGCTATGCAGGCTAACTAAATAAAATTAAAATGCTTGTGACATCATAATTCCCTTGCACTGTCTGCCATTTTGAATAAAAGAATTGGCAATTAGGATCTTGATGTAATCATGAAATTTAAGTGATGTGCTTGACATGCTTATAATGTTCCTAAAATCTACACACTGAAAACTCTACTATACGAAAGAAGTCTTAATATTTGATACCTGAGATGTGATGAGCTTTGAAGCAGAAAAGAAAATATTAAATTTACCTACAAAAGTCAAATATCAAAGATAAATGATCAGAAGGGTATGCCATGCATGGAAGACCATTGCAACCAATCTCATCTTGTTGTGGCACTTGTAAATAGCCTGTGACTTTAATATTGGCAGAGTGCCATACATAGTCTATGGTATGCACGACTTCACCTTTTGGCCGGATTTTGAATGTTGTGAATAATGGCTCGTCTGAAGTTGCACTTTTGTAAGCACTGTGAAGAGGAATTTCATTGATACCCTTTTGCATCAATGCATACATTGGTTCAACTGGTTCTGCATTAAAATCTCCGCAAATGATAACATTGCAAGAATCYTCTTTCATGAACTCTTTYAACTTTTTCAGTACAAATTCACATTGAGCAAGACGRCGCTTTTCAAATTCAGGTTTGGCTTTCAAGTGTAGCACAGCACAATAAATAAGCTGTCCYTCTGATTGGTCAAGAAGTTCTACCAACAATGCAACTTGATTTGTTTTTTCACCATCAACATCTTCAAGCTGAATTCCTTTTGAATCTTTCAGCAAAAAGCGTTCCTCATCAACAAATAGAGCACATCCATCTGGTCCTGTGTTATCAGGAGAATTCAAGCAAGGAGAATCTACCTTAGGAACAAATGCTCCTTCATAGCCTACCTTCTTTAGCTGAGGTTGATAAAAATCAAAATAATGATCCACTTCTTGTAAGCAAATGATATCTGGGTTGTAAGTGAGCAATTCTTGCAATGAACGGTGCTTCCGATTTGACCATGTCAAGGCTTGAGTTGGACATTTGATGAAGTTATGTGTTGAGCTTGATTCTGACAATGCTATAAATGTGAATTACAGTGAATTATTTATTACCATAATTTTATCACACTTGGCTCAGTCATTATTATTGAACAATACAGCATGGATCCTTTGGTCTTTTAGGGGAATTATAATTMAGGGTGCCCTGTGTTGATATTATGACTATAGAATGGAACTTTAACGAAAAATGGAGTAAAAAACCCTTAGATCTGTAAGATCCATAAGCTTTACACATGTAATATATTTTTTCGTGAGGCAGTATGAATTGACAGGAAATTATATAGAATTCCATTATTGTGCAAACTATTTTAATCATCACTTCTGCATTGTCCTATGTTCAATGCAAGAAATGATTAACATACAATGCTTTATACCATCTTACATAAGCTTAATTCATGCTACATTCATGATATTAAACTGGGAAATACCAAAACWTGTCAACAGGATTCACAGCTTATACCAAAGTTGACCCTTTTAAGTAAAGAAAAAAATGTCTTCKCACATGACACGAATGACCCTGACTGAAAAAGGAGCGGGAAAAATGTCATGGTTCAAAGGTTGACATGACTCACCGTCTGCWAGTACATTCCACTGCATGACACGAAATTCARCCTTTTCAGAACAGCTGTCAGCATCTCCTGTAGGTATAAAAGACCTTTCCAGCAAACTCGGAAATCCTTTGAGTTCTAAAACGGCTGATTTTATGGCATCCTTGCGAAGAGCCAAATTTGACAGACTTTGATCAGCCATTTTGAAATATGTAAATGTCAACAGATAGAGAGCAAAGCGTCATAAAATGTACCCTACTCTGGAGGGGATGGGTGGTATTTTTGATTYATAAAATTCATATACCAAACTCAGCAAGATTTATACGATATCTGAATTACTGAAAGATGTTTTAGTTGAAATTATTTTAATGACATAATTAGCTTTTCTAGCTTTAAATAAAATGGAAAAACATCCCATGAATATTATTGCSTTTTACCCCTCCCCGGAGAGTATACGTATGTTGATAAGACGATGACCTTCATGTGACTGCTCTACTTCCCAATTTAGTAAAATGTGCACAATCGTGTAGCTTATATATTGTGTAACTATTTACTTTGACTCAAATTCTTCACGGCAATCATGAACAAGTGTGTATRTTCTATGGTAGCTTTGCTTGTTCTTGGAATAGTTCTCCTTGTAGCAGGCATTGTGCTCTATCTTGAAAATAGCAAAATCATCAACAGCAAAGTGAAACAGGTTGGTTCATCCTCGTGTCATTTCTAAATATAAAATCGCAATTCACTCTTAAGACTTTATGTAAGTAAATCGCAAGCTTTGATAAAGATTTCAAGCAAACTTTTCATGAGATTAATACGACGTGACGTCGTTAAGCTTAAGCTTACTTTATAAAAAGTTGGAATCTGCTAAGCATTTCAAATTGCTTAAAAAAGAAAAGGGAAAAAAGAGAAGAAATCAAAAAAATACAACTAGTACAAGTGAATAATGAGTGCAGCTTTAATTCCATAAATTAAATGTATTATTAATAAGTAATATATATCCATTTGAAAAGAATCAAATCAGGAGTACTCGACCCCGTTTTGGATAGGTACGTGCCGCCAGCGGCCTATTAAAAGACCCTGTTTATTAAGGCACTAGAAAGTGAAAATCCATACCCTGTTCAAGACAAATCGGAAAAATACGGAATTGCTATCTACGTTGCAAACATCAAAACTGCAATTAAACTAACATCCATCAAAGACAATATTAAGAAGTTTTTGATACACGTTAATCCTGGTACAGTGAAACAGTATTTCTACTATTTCTATGGTATTTCATATGAAAATATTATATACATGTCGTGCAACTCAATACAGTATAACAGTGTAGTTTGTAACTTATGTAGCTGTGTAGCCGGTGTAGCTGTGTAGCTGGTGTAGCTGGTGTAACTAGAGTAGCTAGTGTAGCTGTGTAGCTGGTGTAGCTAGTGTAGTTAGTGTAGCTAGTGCAGCTGGTGTAGCTAGTGTAGCTGGTGTAGCTAGTGTATCTAGTGTAGCTGTGTAGCCGGTGTAGCTGTGTAGCTGCTGTAACTGGCGTAGCTGGTATAGCTAGTGTAGCTGTGTAGCCGGTGTAGCTGTGTACCTGGTGTAGCGGTGTAGCTAGTGTATCTAGTGTAGCTGTGTAGCCGGTGTAGCTGTGTAGCTGCTGTAACTGGCGTAGCTGGTATAGCTAGTGTAGCTGTGTAGCCGGTGTAGCTGTGTAGCTGTGTAGCTGGTGTAGCTGGTGTAACTAGAGTAGCTAGTGTAGCTGTGTAGCTGTGTAGCTGGTGTAGCTAGTGTATCTAGTGTAGCTGTGTAGCCGGTGTAGCTGTGTAGCTGCTGTAACTGGCGTAGCTGGTATAGCTAGTGTAGCTGTGTAGCCGGTGTAGCTTTGTAGCTAGTGTAGTTGGATCTTTCTTTATTTTCAGCTCCCTAATAGTCTCCTTCACAGTTTTCCCTTTTGTTGGGCTTCCTGTTCCTCCCTAAAGAATAGGCTGCTTATCCAGACCCTGCATTCCTAATTTTCTCATTGTCTGCTTTGTTCTCTGGTGTACACTACAAAATCCATTCTACATCCATCATATCATTAATATTTTACAGAATGTAGAACTGAAAGAGGGAAGTCTTGTGTTTAAAAACTGGAAGAAGCCAACATCACCTTTGTATATGCAGTATTTTGTATTCCATGTTAATAACTCAGACCAAGTCTTAGCTGGTGAAGAAATCCCACATGTTGAACAAAGAGGRCCATATTCATACAAGTAAGACTCCATGTTTATGATGAAGTAAAAGAAATTTACAGCGTAAAAGAAATTTACAGCGCAAAAGAAATCTAAGGACATTAAAATAATTTTTCTTTCCTTTTCTTCCCTCTCTTGAACCCAGCCTGCATRCCACACAGATTAGCRATGATTTATTTGTTGTTTTGCATTATGTTTTAGGGAAATAAGAAGTAATGATGTCAGAAACTGGAGTCTTGACCATACTGAGGTCACATTTATGCCAAACAGAACGTATATATTTGATCCAGAGACATCATGCGCCAATTGTAGTGACGAYGATWACTTTACAACTGTCAATRTCCCTCTGTTGGTGAGTAGATATCTAACGATGTGAAAGTGTACTGACCAGCATGCATTGTGTTCTCAAGCTGGTATGTTTTTAATATAAACCTTATTGCAAGAATGTTCTTATAAATGCTAAATAAAAACAGACACAAAACTTTGAAAAAAGTTTGAAATTATATCTAAAATTAATGTATTCTGCAGACAACAGCAATTTGGCTTGAGGAAACAGATTACGAAAAATCACAAGGTTTCTTTTGTTGGCAAGGACTCAAGTTCCTTGTCTTTGGTCTACTGTCTCCAGAAGAAAAGAGTTTGTTTCACAGTAAAAAAGTTCGTGAGATTCTGTGGGGATATGAAGATCCTTTGCTCGCTCATGTTCTAAAGGCTCATAAAGTTGATCCAAATTGTGCAATCCCAGATGGTCTGAATCCCTTCGTWCAATTGCAGGTAATGCAAATTCATTCCTTTCAAGAAATACTGGRTCTTTAAAATGTTTTAATTTAAATATCTGTCATTTGGAGTTCATCATTCTGCTTCTAAGAAAAAGTCAGTAWGTCACATGTAGCTATAGCTGTGTAGCTAGYGATAAGAAGAATTTCCCAATTTCAGGAATGTTTTTTGCAAAGAATGTACCATGATTATAAACACTCATGTTTCATTGACACTTTTAGTATAACAAWACATATTATGGGATATCTGCTGTTAATACTGGTCGCAAGGATATTAACAAACTGGAGCAGTACACGATGTGGAGAAATGAAGAGTAAGTATGAAACAGGAAGTTGTGTGGGTACTGTATGAACCTTCCAAAATAAGAAATGATATTAATTAATAATAATTAAGAAATCTTTGTGTCCTTTATGATATGTTGTAGTTATGTTACAATCATTGATTGTTATTGTAATCATCATCATAATCAGTATCACTAGTATTATTAGGTTACCTAACCAATGATAAAATTATTACAATGATAATTATTATCATTTCTTTAAACCTTTTCTWTATCATTTCAGTAAGCTGTCTTGGTGGTCAGACAAATATGCCAATATGATTAATGGAACTGGTTAGTATTTTAAAACCACCTTTAGTGTTTGGTCCTTTGTAGAAAAGAGCAAAAAAAGAGTGCATGGGCTACCACATGAAGCTATGATCAATGTATAATTAGTAAATCTGAAATATTGTAGAGAAAAAAAATCAAAAAAGTATTCATTGCTTTTGTTTTTTCTAGATGGTACACAATTCAAGCCAGGAATTTCAAAATCTGATACTTTGTATGCCTTTGTACCTGAAATTTGTAGGTACGAAATTCTGTTGCTAATTATTTTTAACTCCTAAAGAGGCAACTCTTGACTCTTGACTTYCTGTGGCAAAACTAAAGGTTGGAGGGTATTGTGGGTAAGAAGAGAAGAAAAAGAATCCCTATTTTTTAGGAAGAAGAGAAGAGGAAGAATCCATTTTTTTAGGAGACAACACGTACAACCTGTACAARAGTTGAAGGAATAAAAAACAATAAATCAAATTTCAGATCCATCTACATGAAGTACACATCCACAGTCAAAGTCAAGGACATTACTTTATATCGTTACAAAGTTCCAGATGAGGTTTATATAACTGGTGATAAATACCCYCCTAACAAAGGATTCTGTGTTCCACCTGGGTGTCTTCCTACTGGTTTACTCAATCTAACACGCTGCCAACCACAAAGTAAGCAGTGTCAGAGAGGGTGGTTGATATAACAACATGATAACAAATGGTTTTGTTTTATGCAGACCCGCCAATTGCTGTATCACCACCACACTTTTATCAAAGTAATAAAACACTTGTCAAAGCTGTCAAAGGACTTGATCCAGTTGCAAGTGCACATGAAACTTTCCTGGACGTTGAACCAGTAAGATTAAATACAGTTCTACACAATAACTAGTGATGTCCCTTTCTATTGGTGGTCCAGTGATCTAGAATGACACTCACAACATTTTGATATATCGTGTTGTCCAGACCATTACTACACTAAGGGGTGGGGTGGGGAGGGGTGGGGAGAGAAGGAGAGGAGAGGAGAGGGGTGGAGAGAGGAGGGAAGGGGAGGAGAGGGGAGGGGAGGTTGTATCTTTTAGGGGTAAAAATCAGGGATTTTGATATCTTTTAGATCATCTGAAAGGGTTTTGTACCACCATTGAATAACCTGGTATCTTTTAAGGTGTCCTTTTAAGATGATCGCTTAATATGTAGAGATAACAACAATGTCAGTCAGCTCAAAATTGTTTTGTTTAATCCTTGGTATCTTTTAGTGGTGAAAATATGTCACACCCTTGCCCCCACCAATTAGTAGTACACCTGAAATCACTCTGTTTCTTTTTTCAAGCAAAGGGCTGGGCTTTATGATTACATTATCATTTGATTACAGTGTGGTTACAGAAACCGGGGCCACCTAGAAAAGGTGGAGCACTAACCAATCATAWTGYAGCATTCAGCTGAAGTTTGAAATTACCRTGGGAAYRCTGCAATTTGATTGGTCAATGCTGTTATCAATTCTATCATGTCTAGTTTTTGCTGTCATATGATTGGCTCAGACACCTGAATTTGGAATGTTTTCATACGTAATCTTGATTGGCTTGCTTTTTTWAATTTTTTAAGTGGCCCCGGTTCCGATAGCCACACTGTAATTACTAGATTCATATTTCACAATTTTTAATGTATTCACTGTAAACATCTTGTTCACAGACTACTGGCATCACAATGCAAGCAAAACGAAGAATTCAAGTCAATGTTCATTTACGTCCTGTGAAATATCTCTCGTAAGACATTTAGTGCTTATGATGCTGTAGTATAACTGTGCTACCAGTAATCACTTCCAGTAACTAATGGTTGTTGTGGTGGTTCAGATATCATAGTGATCTTGGTTATGGTAGTAGTAATAGATAGGTTTTCCTTCAACTGGGAAAGAACAGTAAGGCTAATAGTTGGAGAAAACTACTCCAGTGGGWGTTGTGGTAGTATTATTGATAGTTCTTGCAGCAGTCCTTTAGTAAATTGTTATGTTCCAGTGTTCAGGCTGCAGATCAGTAGTTGTGGTTGAAGTGAGATAGAGCGGATTTCGTATGAGTGGGAAACGGACGGTACTGTACTGTGACCGTAATCGTACTKTRABHAMATTCTAGTGCCCCATTGGTTCACCAAAATTGTGCAGGCCAGGTCCGGTAACTGTGCGGTAACCGTGCGGTAACGGTGTCCCACTCATACGAAATCTGCTCTACTGAATTACCAGTATTCATAGTACTAAAAACCTAAGTAAGAGTATTTGATAGATTCCAACGGTAATATTCCAACAAAAAAAAGCCAGTGTGTGCTTAGAATCTAGTGGTATCTGTTAGCTAGTTGTTGTGTTGCGCCTAGTTGTATATAAATGGAAGTGTCAAAGTGGTTGTGTTAGGAAAAGTGGATGTTCTGTCTTCCTCATCTTGAATGGAATTAGGGTGATTATATTGAATTGTATTTGTCTCTTATGGAGCATAAAATAGCTGATAGCATAATTGTTTAATTTCCTCTCAGATACACAAATAAGAATTTCACTCCTGTCTATTTACCAATAATGTATGTTAATGAGGTAAGCTGAAGTCATTGATAATGTAATTATTAGAAGTGAGGTGAGTGTTCTTGCACAACCTTTGAAACTTTGAATTTATGAATTCAATTGCATGCAAATACAAGTGTTTTTCACAGGTTGAGTGACTGGCCTTCAAGAGAAATTCCTCCCATGTAAGAGATACTGATGGGTGTTATTTTTTCATAGAGTGCCCTTATTGATGACCATGATGCTTCTGAATTCAAGCATCAGGTTTATGATCAGATGAATCTACTAACTGATGTTGAGTACAGTCTAATGGGTGTAGGAGGTCTACTTGTGTTAATCGCAGTCTCCATCCTCATATGTTTGATTGTCTGTCCGTCCAAAAATGATGAGAAGGTACTACTGGAGACACTTATYTAAATTGTTTCTCATAAATAAATTTCAGCATATTGAGAAGTATCAGTCATGTTACGTTGACAGTCTAACAACTCTGGTCAGGGCCAGTCTGGGTTAGGGCTGTATGCAAGGGTTCCTTGATGGGGGGAGGGGAGGGGAGAGAAGAGGAGGAGTGGGTTGAATGGTTTGAGTTTTATTTGCGCATTCAAGATTGCAAAGGTGATTTATTGAAGATTTGCCYGAGCATGTTTTTGAGATTCACACCAACACACTGTCTGCCAAGGAAGGGATGCAAACCGATTAGGGTTGGGTTAGGAGCCCCTTCTTTCCTCATATAGTATAAAAATCGGGTACAAAATTCAAGTGTGAACTGCTTTTATGGAATAGTTTTCTTTGCATGTTCAAGGTACCCATACAAACCGACAAGAAGACTTATGGGACAGCARCCAACGTCTWCGTCAACGTCTAATCATTTTAAAATCGTATGCAAAGTTGAAATGGTTGAAAAATCACAAATATGGACAGTCACATGGTAGCTGAACTTGACGGCTACAGTCATCACATCTAGGTAAACATAAATTATCTGATACTTTGGTATCCTGCAATATTAATCAGCCTTACCAAGCTAAACAAGATAAACCTACCACAGAGTTGCTGGCAAGAAAAGTCATATTTTAACAACACCTGTGTAATTCTTGCGCAATGATTGCATGATAATTGTGTCAATAAGAGGACATGTACACTGCTGTGCCAGTGTAATTTTTATAAGAGAATTTTAAATTGAATAGTATTGGATAGATTTTAAAGAAATTTTATAGATTTTTATGTAGACTAGATGTTACAGTAATAAATAATGATTTTATTTTGACACACAAAGCGTGAAAAACATTAAAACAAAGGAATTTAGTAATAATTTAAATAGCACTTGGCGCTATTCAATATTCAACTGTTTCACACTTATAGTGTTTGCACTTTAGTTCAATAAAATGAGCTAATGCTTGTGAAATGAAAACAAGGCTTGATAGACCTCATGACACGTACTCCGGAGCGTCCCGCATTCCTGATTCCATGAATTCTGAACTCACAAGGATTCAGGATTAGAGCATATTAGATTCAGAATGCAAAGTGTCCTAGTTTGTTTTTGATGTCAGTGACTTATTTAGTCAATAACTTGAACTTGTTTTATTGGATTCTGTTTTCAGTGCCGGATTCCAGATTCCAAGTATCTGGATAATAGATTCTATAGCAAACTTTTGCCAGATTCCGTGTCATGGGGCGATTTTACCGGGGACCTATTAAAGTAAAAGAACTGTGAAAACAACCACAATAAAAAAATTATAATGATAATGATAATCTCGTGTGTTTTAAAAAACACTATGTCATAYGTCTTTGGTTTTAATGTAAGCAGTGATAAAACATTTTTGTTTTCAGTGTTTTTTATATATCAATAAATCCATGTTTTACAAGAAAAGTCTAATGTTTGTGACAATAAACTTCACAGTATTCAGGTAAATTCAGGGGATTTAGGACCAGCAAGTCAATATGAGCATTAAAAATAAGGCCACTAAGGGGTCTGGTATGATAGATATGACCTCTGAAAACAGGATCTGAMTGAAGAAACCAAACCTTTTCCATAACTTGCAAAAATAAATATGCCAAGTAGAAGGGGCGGAGTATGAAAATGATTGACAGCAAGTGTGGTTGCTATGGTCACGGTGAAGATAGTTGTCCCTCCTCCTGTTCAGCARGTTCTGGCTTTGTTTCTGCTTGTTTGGATTCACGAGTTCTACGACTYCTTCGTTTTGATACGACCTCTCCTTCTTCTTGTCCATCAGCACTTTGAACCTCGCTGGAGCCTTTGTGACGTTTTCTAGCAAACGAGAGAACGGTTTATAATGTGATTGAATGAGTCGATTTTAAAACCAGGCGCTTTGATTGGAAAACCGGATAATCATACTGTTATTGGCYGATAGATTTCTAGTTCCTCTGATTGACTCAAGGTGTTCATTCAAGAAACTTACTTTTCTCGTTGTTCTTTCGATCTTTCCCTTCGACTTGATCGCTCCTTTGTGTTCACATAGAAAAGAAAGTACCGTCATATTAAATCGTACTATTATGACATCATACCATGGAATCYGGAGCGTTCATTGAATCGGGATTCCAAGCCCCTCCGGATTCCATGAAACACTCATTATTTTCAAAACCGGCGTATTTTTTGTAAAGCACTTTCAAAGATTTCCGTATACGGTCATCGTTTTCGGTGGTTTTGTGTACGCCTGCGCGCATAAAAAGGGTGCGGTTCCGAAAACATCCCGATACGTTTGAACGCTGGTTAACGGTCCATCGACCTACCTCACGCTTTTCTCTGTCTCTGTCACTACCCTTGTCACGATCTTTRTCACGGTCACGATGTCGTCTGCTTTCTCGATCCCGGTCACGTCTCTCGCGGTCACGCTCTCGWCGCGGAGACCGGTCACGGTCGGAATGTCTATCTCGAGTTCTAGAATACATGATCAATGTCAGAAAARAAAAGAAAAAACTGAACACCATATGAACAGCACGTGATACGAACCTTTCTCTGTGTTCTCTACTTCTCTCTCTGTCTTTATCTTTGTCTCTTTTTTTGTGTTCTCGTTCTCTTCGTCTTTCGTCTCCACTGCTACCGTACTCACTATCATCATCACTACGACCTCCTCGTCCCGGGCTTTCTCCGCCTGGTCTAGGCATACCGACGGGAAACTGGTCTCGAAAATTGGGCATAAATCCTCGTCCCATCCCAGCTTCCCAGGGAATGCCATGGGGTGGGGGYCCCATCATGGGAGGGAACGGCTGAACTGAGGGATCTGAGAGACAACGAAGCATGTTAGTATTAGAACCTGATAATAATAATATACAAATAATAATAATGATAAATAAAGCTGAAGACAGGTGTACTGTAACCCGTGAAACAGGAATTACAACTCAGAAAACGCTCACTTGTGGACGTGAAAGCACAAATCTTTTCGCTTTGTTTCCCAGATGACGTCATATTAAAGGGAATATCATATCTTCCAAAACTAGTTTACT